GTTCAGCCCAGGAGTTGGAGGTTGCTGTGAGCTGTAATGCCATGGCACTCTACCCAGGGGGACAGCTTGAGGCTCTGTCTCAAAAAAAAAAACTCTGATGGTTAGTCAAACATGGTTTCAAATAACTATGTGAATGTGGATCCCATTAATTTAAATAAACTTGGCCTCATTAAAAATAAAATTTAAAGCTGAGGGCAGTGGCACATGCCTATAACCCTAGCATTCTGAAGGCTGAGGTGGGAGGATCACTTGAGCTCAGGAATTCAAGAACAGCCTGAGGAAGAGTGAGACCCTGTCTCTAGTAAAAATAGAAAATAATTAGCCAGGCGTTGTGGCGGGCACCTGAAGTCCCAGCTACTCAGGAGGTCAAGGCAGAAGGATTGCTTGAACCCACAAGTTTGAGATTGCTGTCAGTAAGGCTGACACCACAGCACTATAGCCTGGAGCAGCAGAGTAAGAAAGACTCTGTCTCATAAAAATAAACAGACAGAACGATTCTGTCATTACATAGCTTCTCTTCCTAATAATCTCAACAAAACTGCTCTTCTAACCCCCGTAAGTAATATATTAGGGAGAAATGCCATAAAAACCACGTAATTCCAGTTTCAAACAAGAAAAAAATTGCAAAATTGAGAGTATCCTCCCAATATTTTCAAAGATCAAAATGAAACAAATCTAAAGAGAAAATAATAAATAAGAAACATTAAAGGAAGGTTACAGAAAGCCACCTACCTTAGACTTTTTTCCTGTTGGATAGAAGTTTTAAAAGGACAAAGAAAAAATATATCCTCAAAGTGGATTCCCATTCCCAAGGACTTAAAACTTCCTTTCCTCCCTGAAAATAAGCTGTATTAAAATTTAACTCTAGGAAAAAGTCAAGTGGTGGTAGCTTTAATGAATGCACGCTGTCATGCCCCATATGGTATGATCACTGCTCAGAGCACATGTGACAGGCCACAGGAGATTTACTTCAACTCTTAAAGGTAAAGGGCAAACCAAATAAAAAGAAAATGGAACTGCAGTTTTACTGTATCAGCAAGCCATGTAGCCTCTAGCCCGAAGAACTGGGCTTGGTGCCAATGTAAATTAACCTGTTTTAAATAAGTTAATCCAAAAATGTTGAAAAAGCTTAAGCCTTGTTCTTCTGTAAAAGATTTTCATGGCTGAAGAAGACTCAACATACAACTCTAAAGTTAACAAGCTTTTATAACACTGGACTCTAACGTCCCTACTGGATAAGGCTCAGCGTAGATAAAATCTCCTTAAAGTAAAGCTAAGCAGAGTCAGAAAGCACTCCAACAATTTGCTGTACTTGATACCATCTCTCTTACAATTGGTTCTAAATTACCTTCCCTTAGGACAGAAAGTATCTGTGAATGATGCATCTATCACAATTGGAAAGTCTTTTTATAAATAGTGTGCCCTTTTAATAGTCTCCTCTTCTAACAGACATGCTGGTTGAATCAAAACAGGATTAGACATCAAATTCCAATTAAAGGCTTTTCTTTGCTATTACTTGCCATGCTTTTACGTCTTAAGGGACAAAACAAAAAAGTGGTCCCTAACCCTTTCAATTTCCATCAAATAGAGTAACAGGACTCTTCTAATGAAACCACTGGACTGATTATCTCATTTCTTTATAACCTTTCCAGACACTGCACCTTAATAGTCAAGGCATTAACTCAAATACTTGAGAGAAACATTTCCTCATAGATAGATTTTTATTAGCAAGAAAAAGCAATAATTTTTACTTTTAGTATACAAATATCAGAAAAAAAATGACAGTCTGGTCTGGATACCAGCTAGAAAAGCCCCACAGTAGAAAAACGACTTCAGGCTAGGGTGAGGTAGATCCTGGATTAACCAAGATAACCAGCAGCATAGCTGAGGTCAGCAGGGAAGGCGTGGGTTCCAATCTGCTGACTGTCACTGCCGTGGTCGGGAATCTTCCTACTCCTTACAACGGACCTGACCTAACTGACTAAGCCCCTGAGACATAAAAGAGAAGCTGTCACAGTGGGGAATGTCAGACCAAAGCAGGGGTGGCAGAATGATAAAAGAGAAGAGCTCATGGCCAACATCCTGGCTTCCCTTGACTCCACAGCTAAACTTCAGGGTAGGAGCAGCTTTGACTGAAGTGAGTACATTCAGTAGAAAGATCTGAAGGGCAAACTCTCTGGACCTTAGTAATGAAGAAAAGGCACAGGATGTGGCTGGGCGTGGTGGCTCACGCCTATAACCCTGGAACTCTGGGAGGTGAGGTAGGTGGATCACCTGAGCTCATGAATTCGAGACCAGCCTGAGCCAGAGCAAGATCTCACCTCTATCTACAACAAATAGCCGAGTGTTGTGGTGAGCACCTGTAGTCCCAGCTACTTAGGAGGCTGAGACAAGAGAATGACTTGAGCCCAAGAGTTTGAGGTTGCTGTGAGACGTGATACCACGGCACTGTACCCAGGGCAACAAGTGAAACTCTGTCTCAAAATAAATAAATAAAATAAAAATAAACAAACAAAACAGAAAAGGGACAGGACAGGATCACTACTAGGGGTTCTAATTTGGGGCAATGAGAATGTCCGTTTCCAAAAATATCTCAGGCACTTTATTCTAGGATGAGGGTTAAACTAGGGAGCTGCTTCTTTCCTTCTTTCTTTCATTTCAGGACCCTTCAGTGAATACTCAATATATTTTGGATTCATTGCTAGACTGACATTAAGTAACAAGGCTGTTTTCTCTGCAAACAACCCTCACTATGACTACCCTCATTTCCCAGTTCCACCTCCCTCTTTCTCCTCCTCAGGCTTGGTCACTGTGAAATGAGTTTAGTCAGGGCTGACTGAATGTTTAGTCTTTGACTGAACAGTCATAATTGCTCCATCACTGAACAGACATTCACGGAGCACTACCTTCCAGGCACTAGTCTGGGCAGCAGGGATGATAATGAGTAAGAACTGCCAACCCTTCTAAGATCTCTTAGTTTAGTAGAGAGGCACTCAAATAAATACAATATAAAAAGTACTGTAAAGGGATGCTTCCCTGGAGAGGGAGAGAGTACCTGACCAGCGAGTGCCGAGACAGAGTCAAGTTCAAGCAGCCATAAGGACTCTTATCAAGGTTAGGGGTTGAAAAAGACTTGCCAAAAATAGTTTAGGGTCAGCTCAATAATTAGCTGATAAACAGCCTTAACTGCTAAAACCTCTTTAAGATGAACCCTCTGGAAAACAATGCTCTACTGTTGAAAATAAATAGGTATCACCTATTTTAATGCCTATGCAGGTCCTAAGATCACAGGCAGAAAAGTTGGGTACAGCCACTTTCAGAAGTCAATTTCTATAATAGCAACTGTCCATGTTTGTTGAGTGCAATTCTGTCCCAACACAAATATCCGAATATTTTTATATGACAATGACATAGATGATGAATAATCAATCACAACAACAGCAGCAAAAGTTCTCATCTGCTATTTATGATATACTAGGTACTTACCAAGTGCTTCACATTTAGTAGAACCTCTATAGTTGACCAGCTGCTTAGGCTGAACTAATTTTCATAGACTGGACATGCACCATATGTATGTTACCAGTACCTCATTCCTTATAGTGACCACCTCCGTATGGTGACTGGTTTATTACAGTCCTTGGGGTGGTCAATTTACAAAAAGGTTCTCCTATATTTACACACTTAAATATCTCTGCATACTCTTACAGAACATACTATTTGTCCCATTTTCAGAAAATCTAAACAGCTTTCCCCATTAGGGAGCTAGTCAGAGGCAGAGCCAGGAAATGATCAAATCCTTCTAATTTCAGTTTGTTCTCCTAACCCCAATGCCATATTGCCTCTCATTTGGTAATGCTGCTAAACCCATCTGAAATATTTAGCTAGCATTCAAAGTACTTCAGTACCACTGCACTACTGGCCCTCCCACTCCTTTCTGCCCAGGGCCAGCACACACACTCCACGCCCCTACAGACAGTCAGACATAAATACAAGCTAGAAAGCTTTGAAAAACTGTATGTCCTGGACTCCCTTGTGATTGGGTTGTAGATGATATGTAGATTTTACCAGTGAGAAACATATACAAGATCTGGAAGGAGGAAGCCATGTTTCTTCCCATCAGGGTAGGTGGTAAGCTCCAGCAGACCCGGCGCGGCAGCGTCCGCTAGATGCCAGGTTCCACTGTCTACTTACCAACTTCTGGCAGTGGAGCAGCTATGATGGCAGCACCCAGAGTACCTGGGGCAGCGGCAGTTTCCTAATTCCTACTTGTGGGATGAAAGCCCTACCCTCACTGCTCTACCCCTGTTCACTGGAATAACATAACAGTGATCTCAGTTTATTCCACAGAAACTTGACTATTGGAACACCATAGTCACTATAATTATTACTGAGAAATAAATATTTAGTAAGTTATTAACTATATTTTACAGATTGAATAAATAAAATTTAAATTATTTGTCTAAGTCACACAAGTCAATGATTTAACCGAAACTGACACTCTAACACTATTCCACACCAGCACTATTAGTGATAATGCCACTATGAATTGCAATAAGAATTTTTTTTTTTTTTTTGAGACAGAGCCTCAAGCTGTCACCCTGGGTGGAGGGCTGTAGCATCACAGCTCACAGCAACCTCCAACTCCTGTGCTCAAGCGATTCTCCTGCCTCCACCTCCCAAGTAGCTGGGACCACAGGCGCCGGCCAGAACGCCCAGCTATTTTTTTTTTTTCGTTTAGCCGTCCTTGTTGTTTGGGAGGTCCAAGCTAGATTCGAACCTGCCAGCTCAGGTCTACGTGGCTGGTGCCTTACCTGCTTGAGCCACAGGCACCGAGCCAGCAATAAGAATTCTTTTTTTTTTTTTTTGAGACAGAGCCTCCAGCTGTCCCCCTGGGTAGAGTGTCATGGCATCACAGCTCACAGCAATCTCCAACTCCTGGGCTCAAGCGAGTCTCCTGCCTCTGCCTCCCAAGTAGCTGGGAACTTAGGCGGCCGCCACAACGCCTGGCTATTTTTTGGTTGCAGCCATCATTGTTGTTTGGCAGGCCCGGGCTGGATTCGAATCTGCCACCTTAGGTGTATGTGGCTGGCACCTTAGCCATTTGAGCCACAGGCGCTGAGCCAGCAATAAGAATTCTTGATGTCAGTTCTAATTTAATTAACTTTTACTTAGAGTCTAGGTACAAGTCTCAATACATCAAAAGACAAAATTTCTCTCAAACATGAACATGTGAAGCTAACAATCACTGCTTTGATGTTGGGATAAAAAGCTTAGAAAACATGCCCAGAAATGTCTCAGTGTGTTCTCAATATCAAGATAATTTAAGATTCCATCCTTGACCTATAAGTTTAGTGCAGAGATAAAAACTGGGATAAGTAAACCAACTCTAGTCAGTACACAGTCTTTTTTTTTTTTTTTTTTTTTTT